AAGGGCAACTCCCATGGTCATATTTGGAATTAGCATGGTCGATAACCTATAACCCACTAGATTCCGAGCAAAAAGTGTTTAATCACCTCGAAAGGTTCCCTCGTCAGTTTTATTGCTTATCGGTGCCCAGTTCTTCGTATTCGTCGTTACATACATACCGGTTTTTTCACTGTGTAATCCGGCCTAACTACATCAGTCGCTGTCATCAGTATATTCTCTATAGGCCCTGATCGTAGTTGCGCTAGCGATTGAGGTTTCACTGATTGACCCGGCGAAGAAATATCAATAATAATAATAATAATAATAATATAATAACATCACTTTACAATGTGGATGAACATTAAAGTCAGAGCATTTACTTGGTAATAACTAATTCTAAGTCATTTCCCGAACGTGTTATTTCCATTTTCGCTTCTTGATGACTAAGATTTGTCGCGTCTCGTCTATTGATTGTTAAAACTTTGTCTCCAGGCGCTAAACCCGATTGTTGAGCTGGTGTATTTGGATTGATCTTGAAATAAAACATAAAAACGGATAAAAGGAACACCAGAGAGGAAACATTTGAATACAGTACCAGTTGTATAGACAATGGAATAGAAAACTCTGTACCACCTGTTGACAATGAAAATAAAAAAAAAATATGAAATGATAATGTAATGTTTTTTTACCTTGTGAACCAAAACCCCAGGTTCCCTCAGTAGAATCGCGTACTAAACGGACTGTTTGAACATTACTGTTGCTGTTGTGCTGCATTTTTGAAATCTTGAAAATTCGATCTAAAACAAGGAGAAGTGGATATTTCTGATTTGTTATCTTTATTTTTAGTCTATCAATATATATTTCTCTCAGTTCTTACATATAGTGTTAGAAACAGTTGTCCTGGAACATGTTTAACAAACAGATGAGCTAATTTTCTAATAATTGAAAATCTTGAAGAAAAGAACTATTGCATGATGCTATGCATTATTAATATAATATGTATTGATATGTCTCAGTTACAAAACGAAGAAAAATACACTAGAATATATATCCATGCATTATATGCAAACCAAATGATTGAAGAGTTATAACCAATTAATAAAATGAGATATCGCTCTCATACAGACGTCTAACGTTTATATCAGCCAGTTTGTACTTTTTCTAAAACATTTTACTATTACTTACAGGAGATATATATTTGGTGTTTTACACGATGCATAATAGGACATATGCAAATTTATTAACAGAAAACAAAAATTAAGAAAATACTGTTTAATATACTGTACAAAAGTAGTTCAGTTAAAATCATAAATGACATTCTATGGTTTTAAGAAAATGTAAGAAGAACCAAAGAACACAGTTTAAGGTTTAACCGAGAAAATTCATAAATGAGCGATAAATCATAAAACTCTTGTACACTATTAGATTCAAACAAATACGATGAGAAAATGACAGAATTTTCTTCTACTGTAACATAATGATTTACTCAAATACTTGTTTCTTTTTTAGCATAAAATATTCCCCTAGGCAGGCGGCGGATCAAGTAGACTTGAGTCTCTCTTGATCCTGAGACGCTTCCCTTCCATTATTCGTTTACAAGACCCAAATGAAAATTGGTTAGATCTTCAACTATTGTAATAGTGAGAAAACTAGTGCTTAAAAACAAACTATTTTCATTCACATTTTTTTCTTGAACTTTTCAATTTAGAAATGTATACAAGAAGAGGCACCGGGATCTAATATCTAAGTCATAAGAGTATATTATACACTAACAGATTTCAAATGTCCGTTCGTTGTTGTTTGGTTATCATATTCGCTATCTGATACAATAAGGTTTTTCTTCGCTTCGACTCGACAATTATATGATTGTCCATTACTTTTCGTTGAATATTTAACTTTGAGAAATATATGATATGTTATACATGAAATAACGATAAATACAAAACAAATAATTGCTATCATAATAAACAATGAACCCAAATAATAATTTGTTTTTGATGGTTGATCTAATAATAAAGTGCTAATTAATTTTTCATCTTGATAATGTTCGTTACATTCGTATTTTCGATTAACATCACATACATAAAATACAATAGAATTTTTTGATGTTAGTGCTGGTTGACCATTGTCTTTGGCATAAATTTCTAAACGATAAGGTACATTAAGATGTTTTCTGTTATACAAATATATTGAACCATTATTATATAAATGAAAGTGATGGTAAGCATCGTTATTTGAAAAATAATAGTTTATTTTTCCATTTGGACCATCATCCATATCGATAGCGTTAACGGTAGCAACGTATTCTGTTATTAGTGAACTGTCAATATCATTATTATGGCGACGTATAAGTGATGTTGATGATGATGAGGTAAAAATTTGAATTGAACTCACATAAATATAACGTTCTGTATCATTATCAATAAATGTTGGTATATGATCATTTTTATCAGTTACATGAACTATTACTCGTACTTTACTTGTTTGACGGTTTTCATTAATAGCCATTATATGAAGATCATATTTATCGATTGTTTCACGATCTAACTCGTGGGTTACCTAGAATAAGAAAATTTAGTAAAATACTTTTACGCTAAAATTTTACTTACTGTTAATATTCCATTATCATGATTTATTCGAAATGGTACTAAATCTGTTTCAACAAATGTATAGGTGATTGATGATGTATTATTTGATATACAATCTGTTGCTTGGACTTGACCAATTTCAAATGGTGGTGCACGAAGTTCAGATGCATTAAAATTATAAGATAAACGTTGAAATACTGGTGAACAATTGTGATAATGGTACATGTGTATTAGAACAATGGTTTGATCAAATAATACTCGATTTTGTGTATTTGTTGCTTGAACAGTCAAATTTAGAACATGTTCATTCTGAATAAATTCTTTTAAATATATGGTACCGTTGGCTGAATCAATATCCACCAAATTAGTGACTGATATTATAGTGTAATGCGTTAGTCTTGATTCTGTTGAATGTGCTTCAACTTGCCCAATTATCGTTCCCGGTAAAGATAAAGTAGATAAACGAAAATTATATTCTTTTTGACTAAAACGAGGTCGTTGACGTATGTAAAGTAATAGATGACGTTGACTCGATAATGGTGGTATACCATGATCATCTAAAGGCAAAAAAATTAACAATACAATGAAACCTTGTATTAAGAAAGAGAGAGATATATTAACTAACGTGCTTCTAATACGATTCTGTATGTATCTTCTTGTTCTGTATCCAGTGTCTTTGCAATACGTATGGTCATACTATCACGATCTAATACCAATGGACAATTTGTTATTGATAGTGAACACGATAAAATATTAACAGTCAATTGTTTATTTATCTTTGTACTATCATCATCTTTAACCAAAATTGTTCCAATGACTTGATCAACACTAATATTATCATTAACAATAAGTGATTCGAAATTATCTTTATCATTTTCTCTTCTATTATTTGTTTTATAATCAGCTAATATATTTGTATAAATTTGTGGTTCATTATCATTGACTAAAAATAAAATTCAAATAATGAGAAGAAATTTAACAATCATTCTTGTTTTACCGTCTAGTACGTGTATTGTTATAGGCACAATACTATTTGTTATTCCATCTTCATTTGCTGCTTTAACTCGAAAACGATATATTGATTGTTGTTCATAATCTAATGGATATTTTAACAGAGTTTCACCTGTTTTTGAATTGATTTGAAATGGTAATGTAGTACTAGAATCTGATAGTAGTGAATAGACAATGGTTTTATCATAACAATCGGCATCTGTAGCACTAACTGTAATTACTGTATCATTAACGAGAAAATTTTCATTTATATATTTAGTGTATGAATTTTTTTCAAATTTTGGTTGAAATTCATTAAAATCACCAACAGTCACATTACACAATAATATATTTGATTTTTGTCCTCCTTTATCTTGAGCAATAATTGTTAATTTATAAGATGAACGTTGTTCACAATCAAGTGTTTTCAATACTTTTAAATTTAATTCACGATTGATATAAACTAATTCAAATATATAACTAAATTCATTATTAACAAATGAATATTTATCAATATTGTACATATTTGAATCAAGATCACGAGCTATTGGTAATTGATAGTGATAAAATGGTTGTAAATTTTCTCTAATAACAATATCAATATTTGATTGATCAAATATAGGTATAATATCATTTTGATCTTGAACAATTAATTGAAATACAATGAAAAACGATGTTTGACTAAATATACTAAATGATAAATTACACTGATATTGATCATAGGAACATAAATTTAATTTACAAAATTCTTCACGATCTAATTGATGATGTTTATAGGATAATATTGATGATGATAATTCAAAATAATTTGCTATAGTTGTTATTGATAATGAAAATTGTAATTGTTCAAAATAATAATTTGATGTATTAACATGTTGTTTTAATAGGTCAATTAAATTCCATTTTAAATTTTCAACAGGTGTATTTTCATGTACATAAACATTTAAATGACATATATCTTTACAAGTGTGAATAGATGTTGTAACAACAGACCGATGAAATGAAATAAACATAATTAATAAAAATAAGTTGATCAACAAATTATATATGGCAACCATATCTTCTTTTTTATGTTAACCGTCGCCCTAGTCCACTCAAAATAAAAGAAAATAAATGTTATTTAATTAACATCTAATTTGCCGATGGTTCAGTTTTTATATAATATATATTTATCTACAACAGAAACCAGTAAAATATGTACATTTTCCTTCGTTATATACAAAGTACAGTAAAACCTTAGAAAACATTCTTTATGATTTAACAATGTCGTTTATAACCAAAAAATTGACTCATTTTAAAAATCTCGGAACTTAGTTGTGATTGCGAAAATGCTATTGTGAAGTTTTCTACATTTTAGATTAAACATCTCGTCACTTAGGAAGCTACCATACAGACAATATTTGATTGATAAACGTTTTTCATCCAAAAGACAAGCATTTCAGAGATTAGTTACTAATATATGTTAACTAAGAGTTTCTGCAGTGTACAATTATCGTTCAGTTTTGTTTCGAGCATCACATTTTCTCTGAACCTTTTTTCTTCCATACTTACTACTGTACAGAAGAATTACACAGAATTGCTTGTTATCATATTAGCTAATAAACCTCTAGTGTATACTATGTAGTTAGTAAACGGTATGATCATTTTTATAAGAAATTACATAGAGATATCATATATGTGTATAGTATATGATATATATGTCTAATTGAATAGAACTATGACTGTTGGTTACTGGTGATGACCGATGAAATAATAGTTCCACAGATATATCTGCATGTCAAAACATGTTGTCGAGAGATTGAATAATGAATGAATATTGTGTATAAACAGGTCAGTTCGACAAGCACATTTTGATACAAAATAAATATATATATATATATATATTAACGATACAAGGAGAAGAAGAGCTAGAAAGATACAAGATGGCAAATTGAATCTTAACCTTGACTGTATAAAAGTTATTCATATTGTTGGACACAAATTTTAAAAGTAGCTTTATTTATCAACATTATTTTCTGTATCTTATTGTCTCTTGCAGCACAGATATCTCAATTCATAGATGAGCCATAAATCGGTTAGATATATGTTAATATCTCAGAGGAAGAGCTGGAAAGATCTTTTGTAGTACTTCATTCTATTATGAGAAACGCCACTAGAATTGCTCGATTTGATTCATTTCGCGCAGCAATAGTCGAAAGATATCAAGCACAGACAGCATCAATTTCAAACAGTAAGAAATATCCTCACTAAAAAACCTTGTACACTGCGACCTTTTCTGAACAAGTCATTGTCTTCATATGATTTCTTTGAACTTTTTGTGGATTGTGTAATAGAGGTTACAATTCTTTGCATGCAATTCTATACATACTACCAGCATGGGGGTGCATGTAGGTTTAGTAGAGCAATTTACCTTGATAGTCATATTGTGTGTCAAGTACTTCAAAGACATCATCTTCGAAGCAGGACGTCGGCAAGTCATGCACTAGCCTTGAGCATGTTTCATACGTTCATGTAGTTTGATTCGCCCATCCAATACCGTACTCACTACATTAAGAACATAATCTCCAGTAATTTGTTAGTGAATATGTGTATGAAACTTAAACAACTGGGTAAAAGAACGCTGCATTAGGCTAGCCTTACGACCAAAGCTATAGCTTAGTGCCTAGTAAAGAGATGGATGAGCACCTTGGAGATGATCAGCTACACGAAAAATCTGAGGCTTTCGAAATTTTCCATAGGCAATATATTTAACCTCAAATGTACAATGGCTCACTTATGTGACTTTTCTACAAAAAATATATATTTTTTGATAAGATAGTTGTCTTCTTTAAAGTCATTAATGATCATTATTGCAGTATTCAGAGAAAAAAAGACTTTCAATGAAAGCTATACAAAATATTTTTAGCCTTTGAGTTGGTCTGTAAAATAAACAGGGGCGCCCCGATACATCGGAGGCAGGAGGGGAAGTCAATTTCGGAATAAATTTTATGCTTTTAAAAATTGAAGAAAAAACTTCAACACAAAGCCTTATAATATAAAAATCCATTTACTCAGGCCATGATAGTCTATTCTATTTATCTTATCTTATTTACGTACACGGTAGAATTACATAGATAGAAAAAACAAATGCTTTACTCTAAAAATGGAAGTCTATGTTTTACATCGAAAATAGAAGGAGATATCTTACTTTTGAAAAGGGAGTAAATTCCTAACTATGAAACTGAGAGTAAGCTTTTTATACTCTAAAAATGAGAGTAATTGTCTTACTCTGAAAATAAGAGTAAATCTTGAGATATTCTGTGAGATATTCTCGTAAGTCAAAGACCTAATTTTAGGAGTAAGAAAATCCTGATTTTGGAGTAACTTTTTTCAAAAAGCAGGGGGGATTTCTTCCCTCCCCCTTACCGGGTTGCCCCTGAAAATAAAGTGTAGAAAAAAATTGTTCAGAACGCAGTTCGGTAATAGTCATGCATCTGTTTTCAATAATGAACAGAACAGAAATTTTTTTACCTTTCCTCTCCAGCAGCAAATAAGTATCAATAGAGTATCGATCTTTCTAGGCATGCACCGATAGTTACTGGTGTATTTTCCTCTTTTCTGAATGGGGTTGACCGAAAAGTGCAAATTACCAAACTTTTTTGACGGCTGAGTTTTATAGAGAAAACATTTTTCTACAAAATGATGTATGTCGCAACTCTTCACCTTTTTTCTTTCTTCCACAATCGATTCTCAACGAAAAGCCCAATCCGGTATTAACCGGTGCCGGCATCACTAGCGATAGTGGGACGTTTGACAAACATTTTTTATCTAAGTACTAATTCAAGGTGGAAAGTGCTGTTATATCTCATTTGATAGAGAAATGTTTGCTCTACAAGACTAAGTCATCAAGATCATTTTGCGGTACTAAAAGTTTTATACGAAAAAAGCGAAGAATTGCTACCGGTAAACAACGATGAATACCTTAGTCTTTCTGTCAGTAGATCATGTAACAAAACACATCTCAACTACTTCGCTGGAGAAGCGGATACACAACAGAAATTCTTAGTGATATTGTCTATCTCTTCCATCCCTAGATAGGGTCAGATCTATATAGATCCTTTTGTAACTTTTAATAATCACTTGAACTACTCTCAATAACAGAACAATTAAGGATGTATTTTCCACTAAAATAGATTGTTCTTGAAGCAATAATCATAACTCGGCATTTTGTAAAGTTCAAGAAAACTATTGTTAATAAGCTCATATCAGGTATCCTATTAAAATTGTGGTGATGACATATCATTTTACATTCACTTTTTTGCTCGATATAGATGTAGTAAGAAACAAAAATTCGGTAGAAATCATGCTTGATGATGATGATGAAAGAAAATTTATCTAATGCAATTTTACACTAACAGCTCAAAAATACTTTCTTTCTCCCTCAACACCTCGTTCAGATCTCTCTTCTCTAAGTTATTTAGTACAAGGACCTTCACGAAGAAGAAATGTTTCCATCATTACAAGAAAATGAAGATAATTTATTCTTCTTCTTTTGCTTCTGTAGTTCGATCATTCTAGATAAATGCACACAAGACGATTGCAGCATTAATGATGATGATACTGTGGTCGTCATAAATCCCTATAGAAATGCTTGCTCCATTATTCACTATTATGTTTTAAAGTCTCTTTTGACCACAGTATATCATCCAATGTTTATAAGCATATAGATTATTTTTTAATCAGCTCTATTTTTATACCTCTTTCTCTACCCCACTTGCGCTCACTGCCCTTCATGTATATTAATTGATTTGAGACGTGTACGTTATCGACAAAGACAAAATAAATTTTTGAAAACCAGATAATGGAAGGACTCTGAGGGGAGTGTGAACGTATTCCCCTTGAAAAGAAATATTTTCATTTTTAGCCAGAAAAATTTTCATATTTCTCTAACAAATCATCATCATCTTAAGAAATTTTGGAATCTATCCTTGAAACGAGAAATTGGAATTGGAAATTTAATCAATTGTACAGGCAAAAATCTCATATTGTGTGCCCTTAGAAAGAATAAAATTAAATTTCTGCATGCACATATGAGAAAGAATAGTTGATGTACTGTTGAAAAGTCAGCTCTTGTATATTTTCTGAGAAAATTGAAACAACATTAAATTTTGGCTAAAACATCAGTTAAAAAGTGTACGACGATCGCAATTTATATCATGAAACATTTTATTATTCTATACGGTTATTTAAATGATAAATTAAAATTACATCTGAATTCTCATATCTTATGGGATATAACAATAATCCATCCATCCAGATTTGCAAAGACTTTCCAGACATAATGAAGTTCTTTAAAAAATCATTGCTACTTACCAACGAAGATAAATTTCAATGGATGAAAAATGATCGTATGTGTGTTATCGAACGATAATTGAACATATATTAATGAGATGATGATGAGTAGTCCCGTCCCATTCTTCTTTCTTGTCGTTCGTTCTTATCTCTCAATATATACCCATTTGTTTATTGATATATCTCTAAGAAATGTTGCATATCGAAAACGTCAACTTTTCTTAATGTTAACTGCCAAAAATAATAAATGAAAAAAAATATTCACGAATATTAAAAGAATGATTAGTGATTTTCTAATTCATTTTTAATGAACAACTATGAATCAAAATTTTTCTCCTTTTGAACGTTCGTTCATATAATAAACGAAGAGAGAGAAAGAGAAAGAGCGAGAGAAAGAAGAAAATAAGTCATCGTTCTTTTCTTTTTTGTTGTAACATCTCTCGCAGAACGGTACACTTGGGTATTGCAGAAGAAGAAACGAGAGTCGTCACCGTAAAAATTGCAGTTATTATTTGTATCTTTCTCTCGATATATGTCACGTAATTGTACAAGAAAAAGAGAAACAATATTTGTACAAAAGACTAATACTCAGCAGCATTAAATGGAAATAATTTTAAAAGTTTGTAAATTTTAGGTAAACTTTCTTTGGTTTTTTTTTTTTTTTTTTTTTTTTTTACCAAGG